AGATATTAACATCTTTCTTTCCTCTTTGTGGTATTAACATCATGATGTTTGGATGTAAGAACAGCTGATTCTCGTGCAAATGAATCATTCAACTCAAGAGTAGAACCTCCATCGCTATTAGCAACTGAAAAAAAGAAGCCAAGTCTGTGTTAACCTTTTTCTTGATGCAGCAAGGTCTGAGCAAAGCAGTTGCTGCACGAACTGTAAATAAATCAGATCATTTCATCGACCACCTTATCTCAAGGCTTCATTCTGCTCATAAATCTCGGTATCTTGTAGGTCTGGTTGCAACATGTTGTTTTTCTTTTTTGGTACTTTTATCTAAATGTCTTTGTTCCCATGCTAATCAGTTTTACTTGTTATTGCAGGAAGAGAGCTCACAACTCTTGAGATTAGGGATACCCTTAATCCTTATCTTCAATCACTTCTTGAAGAGCATGGAAACTTTATGGTAGATTTAGTGAAGAACTTTCGTACCGCACCTATCGAAGAAAAGCCAGCTTTGCCAGTTTGTTGATCCCATTCCAGCCTTGACTCCAAGAAGCCAGAAGCAGTCTCTAATGTAAGCTCCCCAAGTCCAGCAGCAGATCCATGCCCTCAACATAGCTACCTCTTGGAGCCTGGCATGGATCTTGAGCGGATCAAATTAGCTACTCGCAAATATCCTAGTTTTGCCAGCTACAGCTCGGAGAGGAAAATCAAACCTCTAGTAGAGTTTCTTCTTCATCTTGGGGTAGCTAAATCAGAGATTCCTAAAATTCTTGTCCAAAGGCCTCATTTATGTGGACATAGTATATCTGGTAAAATAATACCCATCATGTTATAATTAGAAGATATGGGTGTGGACAAGTACAGTGGGCAAAAGTTATATTCCGCAGCCCAGGACTCTTCAATCACAGCAGGCAGAAGGTTCAGGCAGTTGTTAATTTCCTTCTTGAGTTGGGCTTATCAGGTGATAGCATAGGTAAGGTCTTAACTCGGTATCCAAGAATTGTAAGTTACAGTGTGGAAGACAATCTCCGGCCGACAGCCGAGTACTTCAAAGGGTTGGGGGTTAATGTTGCCATCGTTGTCCACAGATCTCCAGCGAGTCTTTGGCTTAGTATTGAGGACAATCTCAAGCCTGTGACCAAATTTTTCTATAAAAGGGGGTTCAGTGTGGAAGATATCGGGACCATGGTGTCAAGATTGCCTAATTTATATGCTCTTAGCTTGACGGGGAGCTTGATACCCAAATAGGAGTTCTTTTTTACCATGGGTTATTGAAAATCTGAGCTGGTTAAGTTCCTTGAGTATTTTAGTTACAGTTTGGAACAGAGAATCAGACCACATTTTGCACTTGTCAAGGAGTCAGGACTGACAATCGGGCTGGACTGCATGTTAGTATGATCACAATGTGGCTTTGAGAAAGTTTTGAAGATGAAGAGAAAGAATATGCTTGCTGACGAGCCTTCAAGTCATACAGAGAGCAAGTAATATGATTGTTGGTCAGGAACTGGATTGTATGGCTCCTCAATGGAGTGCTCATTTAGATGAAGCAGCCCAATGGTACAATTTTCAGGCTTGACTTTAACAAGTTTGTTGGAGGTATCTTCAAGTGTTGTCCACAGTGTCGTCAGTCCTCTTCATCAATTGTTTCTCTATAATCCTTGTCTTTAAAGAAGTTTTCTCTTCTGCATTACCCTTTCTTGCAAGTTAGTATTCCCAGGAAGCACGGAAGTGAATTCAATCATTGTTGTTTATATGAGCCGCTCTTCCTTATAATGCAATTTTTTTTTGTTGCAAGTTGATTGGCTACTTCAATGTAAATCTAGTACTTGTTCTTTTTTTGAAGGTAAGGTTAATATTCTGAACATTGATCTGGTAAAATGGTTCTTTGGTTGCTCAACAAGTGATTGTTTGTTGGTTATGAAACTTTGGTATATTTGAATTTGAGCTTTTACTGAATTACAACTGTGACGTTTTATATTATAAGTCTGTCATTAAAAATATTGCATTCAACATTGCAAGTTTGGTATTTTATACCTCAAAACATGCAGGTTTTGAGATAATGAGAATGTAGATATCTTATATTAAAACTTGGAGCATCACTGCATTTAAACAGCACAGGTTATGAATAGTATATCAACTGAGATACAACTGAGTCTTTGAATACTAAATGCTGAAATCCTTGTTTCAATAAAAATCACTTTGTGATAGGAAGCAAGCTGGCTAATACAGAATCAAGTGTAATCAAAGAGAAGACCCATTGAAAGTTTGTTGACATGTCTTGTTAAATGTTTGCTTTAGTGACATGATGATAATGAATGCACTTGCTTTCTCCAGTCATGGACTTTGGGCATTTACTTTATATACTTTATTACTTTTGGAAGATTAGTTAGAGAAATGCTCCTATATCTGCAATGAAGAATCTGTTCACTTGGCAAACTGAGATTCAATTTTAGAATGATGCTGTGTAAGGAAAATTTGAAGAAAACAAGAAAATGATAGGGACGCAGTCTATTTTTGTCAGGACTTTTATCTCACATTTGCAATAATTTTCATCTCTTCCTTCTCTCTCTCTCTCTCTTTTTCTTTTTCCTTTCACAGTTGTGCTCTCTTTCTTCATCTTCCCCAAGCTCAGTTAAATGCATAACCCTGAAAAGGGTTTTAAATCTTTGCTTTATTTGGTTTCTTTGTGCTGATAAACAATGGCGTTTATAATTAACTATATGTTATGACACACGGAATTTCACAACTAATAGCTCCTATGAGAAGAACAGGAATTTGTTCCTCTCATCTCTTGCTTCTAATGTCACTCTACATGATGTTTTTTTTTTCATTTTTTAAGACTCTTGTGCTTAGAGGAGATTCTTCAAAAGTGTGCTAATTGTGAAAGTTCTGAAGCCAAACAAGCAGTTTTATGGAATGATAAATATTATTCAAGCATCCGAATCTATGGCTATAATTTCTTATTCTCACTTTAGAATAGGAGAAGAGGGAGATAGCTAAACCAAAAATTATCAAGAAAGCACCTGGAGTCGGCACTCATTTTCTTCTCAAAGAGCTTGGCAAGATTTCGCTAATAATCATTCTACTTTGTAAAATGTGTGATGAAGATTTTCGTTTCATGTTGAAATTATTCGCGGAAGAAATAGTTATGTGAGAAGACAGAGAATGTTAGAGAGAGGAAGGAGTTTCTGTCTTCTTCTGTAATGTTTCATAAAAAAGTAGGGAATCTCTTCTTCTGAAGATTTTCGTTTCGTTTCATGTATACTTTTTTTTTTTTTTTTTTTTTTTTTTTTTTTTTTTTTTTTGTGGGTTTGTGCTTATATATGCAGAGAAAGTAAGCATTACATCTAAGACCGTTTTTATCGTTGTTGTTTCTACGGTTACCTTCGTAGCACTGGTTGTCTTCACTTGTTTCCTTCTTTGGAGGAGAACGAGAAAGACAAAGCGAATGATGGGAGGTAAGCGACAATATAGGTCAATACATTACGAGAAAGTCTTTATAGTATTACACTATTACATCCAGCTATTCATGCATTAACGACTGCCTACATAGTAGTATTGTTGATGTGGTAACACAAATATGCATACTGTTAACTGGTTATTGCATTTAATAACTACAAATCACAATTAATCAATCTAAAGATAGATTGAGAAAAAAGTATGAGAAAATACTCAGAGGATAATATGAATGATGTGGTACCTCAATGGAATTCTAGATTTTTTCTATGTTGTGTTCATGATTGGTTAAGTGCATATATGATACGCACATCAAAGACTTTCTAATTAGTTAAGCTTGTAGTTTCTAAATTTAGCTTTAACAAATAATTTACAAAAAAGACTATTAACCTTAATAAAAAAGGGTCTTTTATGAAATATCTTAACAATTTTATCTTTTTTGAAAATCACTCTTAATTTTAATATTACATAAGTTTGACAAATATAAATATTCACAAAGGCAGGTGAGTCTGACCGATAGTTTTGAAGTGGAATTCCCACATATTAGCTCCCAGATGTCTCCTTGCCCTCAAGGTGGTACCCCTGATAAATTCTTTTGGCAAAACAAAGAGGGCCAGCAGGTTAAATTTTCCACGGGGCAAGTCTGGATGGATATATCTCCAGAACCTGCAGTTGCCCCCTGGCATGGGTTGGTTTGGACGAGCACGGGTATATGTAGTCACTCTTTTACGTTGTAGCTGGCCATCAGAGGTAGGTTATTAACTCAGGATAAAATAGCTAGATTGCCTTGTGTGGAGAATATGTGTTGTGCTTTCTGTCTTGGTCATAACCACATTTTTTTTTTTTTTTTTTTTTTTGTGGCTGCTCTTTCTCTAAAGAAATTTGGAAGAAAGTCCAAATTAAAAGGTCACTTCATGTCCCATGAAACAAACTGGGACCGAATGGTTTGCTGGTGTGCCAAAAAGTTTTAAGGGGAAAAACATTAATGCTGTTGTGGGCAGGCTTCTGTTAGGAGCATGTGTGCATTTTTTATGGCAAGAGAGGAACTTTAGGCTTTTTAATGGCAAGAGAAGAACTCAAGGACGTATTGAACAGTTAATTTTTGAGGCAGTTCGAATGCGTTTGAGTAGCCAGAAGTTCAAGGATAACAATCGAGTTAGGATTAAACAGAAGAATCTGCCATCTGATTGTATTCTTAATGGAAGTCCAAGGGAAGATTAACTCTCTGCTGCTTTACCTTGTTGATCAGCACGTTTGAAGACTACTGAAAGCTGGGTCCAACAACCAGAGCAACGTGATTGAAGACTTGCTTTTTGTAAAAGACGTGAAAGATTTAGTCTGTCTGGTTAGCAGATTTTTTTAGACTCATCTTGCCTTTTTGGCAACCTCCTTTTAGGTGGTATTTTTTTTTTTTTTTTCAATACAATTACCGGTTAACCCAAAAAAAGTCGATAAGAGTTCGAGAGATTGGGTTTTTTAATTTTTTTTTTTCTCTATTCTTGCACATAGGAATTACTCTTGTTAGTTAAAGGTCTAAGTTCGGATCTAAAAAAAAGAGGATGCTGAAGAAAAGAGGTCAATCCAATGAATCTTCCTGAACACACAATAAGCCGATATAGATGCTCTGGTGTTCACATAATGGCTGAAAAGAATTACCTAAAATTGGATCAATTAGCTTCACTGTTGTTTCATTTATCCCTTCTTTTGAGTTAATTTTCTTTGCTTATGCTATTTCATATTTAACTCGAGCCAAGAAAAATTGGGTCTGATACATTTTTCCTTTAGAACTCACTTTCAACCATATGAGTCAACTTTCAACTCTGACAACTCATTTACCTAACTGGAATGCTCACCATGGGAGTCAATTTAACCTTGTGATGTGGTCACTATACTTGCCATTGAAATTGTACTAGAACTAGAAAGCATGATGGCTTCTTCTCTTTGGATAAAATTCATCCTTCCAGCCATTTTTCTGCTCATTATTTCTCCCAATATCACAGCCCAGGAAACCACATACCTCAACCACAGATGCATAAACACAACTTTTTTCACTCCAAATAGTGCCTTCTCAACAAACCTCAATGAAATTCTCTCTTCTCTCATCTCAAATGCCCCCCACAGCAATGGATTTTACAACACCAGCACTGGGGACCTGCAGGGCTCTGATAGAGCCTATGGCCTCTTTCTTAGTAGAGGAGACATCTCTCCTGATCTATGCCAAATTTGTGTCAAGGTCGCAAGTAAAAGAATAAAAAACCTTTGTCCTAAACAGAAAGAAGCAATTATATGGTATGAAGAGTGCATGTTAAGGTACTCCAACAGGTCTATATTCTCTGATATGGAAGAGGATCCTCATTTTTATTGGGAGAACCAGAACAACGGTACACATCGAAGTCAGTTTAATCGGTCTCTGGCTGACTTGATGAACAGTTTGGTTCATGAGGCTGTGTCATCTAGCAACTTTTTTGCTGCTGAAGATGTGAATTTCACAACTTTTACTAGGCTATATGGGCTGGCGCAATGCACTCCTGACATTGTTTCATCTGAGTGCCGCATTTGCTTGGCTGCTTGTGTGAGTGAGATTCGTAAATGCTGTAATGGGAAGGAAGGAGGTAGAGTTTGTAGGCCTAGTTGCAATATCAGGTTTGAAATTTACTCTTTTTACTCTATGGGCTCTCATTCACCTCCGCCGCCAGCTACCTCAACAAGAAAAAGTGGTAAGCATTTGCATTTCTAACTTTTAGGATTGTCGGATTCATATGAATCTGACCAATGTGGGAGCCTGCATGAGCGACGTGCACTAAATTGAATCTAACCCATTGATTGGACATATGTACTACTGATGCACGCCAGATTTTTTTTCTTTAAATTGAGCATTTAAGATATCCAAAGTGACAATAAGTTTTTGCTTTGATATATATAATGTTAGATGTACAAAAAAATCTTACAAAGATTTATATATAAAGTGATGTGATAAGAAATGAATAAAAAATTAAATATGATTAGTTTGACTTTTTGTGTTCACTCGTTCATTTATTTCTTGTCACATTACTTTGTACATAAATTTTTTTAAGATTTCTTTATATATATAACATTACTTATATATATATATATATATATATGATGCGCCTATCACATTTAAGTTATTTATTAATCTAATCATAGGGTGAGTTTGTGCAAATAAATAGCAGGACATATGCATGATTAGTTGATTACTTGATCATATTCTTCTGTACGTCGGAAATTAATACTGTAATCACTGTTATAATGCTTTTTGCATAGTGAATGACCTCTCTCAGGTGGTTAGCTTGTCGATCTTTTTGCATCTTCTATAGTTTGAATACAATTCTTTTTGTTTCCTAGCAAAGAATCATCATTGTTATAATCATGTTTTTCAGATTTCAGTATCATCATGAGTTGACTATGTACACATTTTTCTGGTTTGTGCATGCAGAGAAAAGAGGCTTTACATCTAGGACTGTTATAATCATTGTTTCTTCGGTAGTAGTTATTTTTATAGCACTTGTTGCCTTCACTTGTGTCCTTTTTCAAAGGCTATGCAAAGCAAGAGATCGGAAGAGAGCAGGAGGCAGAAAGTAATTATACCCTTTCTGCTGCCACATTTACTCTGCTATATGAGCTGAACTAATTTTCCTTTGAGTTCTAACTTCTTACTCTGATGTTTTAAGGTTCTTGTGAATTGATAAGTGAATCCTGCAATTTGACTTCACACTATCAGAGTTGCAACAAATAACTTTTCGATTATAGTAAGCTGGGACAAGGTGGATTCGGTGTTGTTTACAAGGTATTAATCAAGTATTCATACAAAGTGAATATCAATTGTTGTAAAATGGTTAAATTGTAGTTTGGAATAACTTGAATGCTGTTACAATCATTTTTCTCAAATTCAATTTCAGGTAGACTTCCTGATGGACAGGATATAGCTGTTAAGAGATTGTCATTAATTCTGGGCAAGGAGACTTAGAATTCAAAAGAGGGTGCTTCTAGTGGCAAAGCTTCAGCATAGAACTGTTAGCTTCTAGGTCTGTATGAGAAATAAAGCTTTTAATCTATGAGTCCCAATTCAAGTCAAGCATTCATATTTGGTATGGTTGACCTGCTTTTTTGCTTTTGTTTCTATCAATCTTGTAGCTTGTTCTTGACTAAACTGTCTACTTTCCTATGGCTTTGTTAATTTGTAGATCCCACAAAACGATCATCGGGATTGGGAAAAACGGTACAAATCATTGGGGTATAGCAAGAGGATTGCTTTATCTTCATGAAGATTCAAGGTCTCGGATCATTTCGTGACCTCAAAGCTAGCAATATTCTTCTAGATGTCATATGTTCCGAAAATCGCAGATTTTGAATGGCAAGATTGTTAGAAATGGATCAAACTCAGCCAATACAATAGAATTTTGGGACTTGTAAGTATATATAAGAATTATAACTTAGATCTTACTAAATCAAACCTCCCATCAATGGCCATTTTCAGTGGGTATATGGCCCAGAGTATATAAAGCATGGACACTTCTCAGCCAGTCCGATGTATTCAGCTTTGGTGGTTTAGTCCTGGAAATCATGAGTGGTCAAAAGAATAGTTTCTTTTTCTACCGAGAGGAACCACTGGATTTATTAACCTACGTAAGTAAATTCATCAAGATTTTTTTCATTTTTTCGACTCTCTAAGTAATATGTTAAACTTAAATATTTTGTGTACACTTAGTAATGGTTTTTTTTGGATCGAGTGTAGTATTTATTGACCAGGTCGTCTTTATCAATTTTGTAGGCATGGAGAAATTGGTTGAAGGTAACGCTGTGAATCTATAGATCCCAATTTGAGGGTTGGCTCCAATGAGATATGATGAGATGTATTCACATGGGTTGCTTTGTGTTCAAGAAAATGTAGCCAATCGCTACAATGGCTCAGTAGTTCTCATGCTCACTGGTGCCCCCCTTTTCCTCCCACACCATCAAAACCTGCATATTTTATGCACTCCAGCACAAGACAGATAATTAGAATCACCACATTGCATCTATCAAAAAATTACGTCCAGTTTTCATTGATGAGACTTCAATTACTGAGCTTGAACCTCGATAATGCCTGAAAATTAATTTTGTTCTTTAAGCTAGCATATGGTGCTTTTCTTTGACTTAGAATTTTTTTTTTTTTTAAATAGTTATAGAAACACTATTTTTAAGTTCCCCTCTCTACACATGATCCATGCATGAACTTTTCATATAACATCTAAGAATGAAAGAGTCAGAGAAATGTTATAATTCTCTAATAAGACAATTACATCATTTTTTATGACCGGCATATGTGGTGTTTCTTGGCGCTAACCCAATCAGCTGGTCCTCTAAAAAGCAACGAACAATAGCACAATCCTCAACCGAGGCTGAGATAGAGCTGTGGCATCCACTGTTGTTGAAGTGCTTTGGGTCTCTAACTTACTTCATGAACTTCATGTTTCACACTCCCAGCCACCAACCATTTATTGTGACAATGTTGGAGCAACTTATCTTGGGTCAATCACGTGTTCATTTCCCGAATGAAACACATTGCCATTGACTTTCATTTTGTGCGCGACCATGTGAACAAGAATTTGCTTCGTGTTCAACATGTTCATTCGGCTAATCAACTAGCTAACTCACCACTAAACCCCTCTCCCGCCAGCAGCTTCAACGCATTGTCACAAGCTAGGTGTTCTGATGGAACGCCTATCTTGCGGGCATAATAGACAACTTAAATGACCAATTACATTGATTGGGTCAACTCCATAAATGTGCCTTCTATTTATCAAGACCACATGTTTGCCTGTAATTATGAGCTTACATTTCTCCTGTATTATGTAACTACTGGTGTATATATATCCATGTAATTCATGAATGAAAAGTGTGGAGTTTTATCATTAACTGTTGTCATTATACGGGGGTGTCCGGCTAACTTACCTGTATCTCAACTAATCATAGGACCTTGGAACTACCGATAGCTGGTAACGTTTAGTGGTTACTCCTATTTAACCGAAAGAGGACTCAAACTCATGACCTCTTATAATACACACACAAGAGTCTCTATCAAACCACTCACTACACGAGGTAGTTACAATACATCATTTCTAAAGCCTAAAACATGTCTTAGCTTTCACATGCTAATTTAGTAATATAATAAATTTTTAATTCATTTATTTTGTTCTTTTAGTTATTTCATTTAACAATTTAGTAATATATATTTTCATAAAAAAATGGGCTGTGAAATTAATTTTTGAGATATATGATACCCACCCACTTGTGAAAATAAAAACCATGTTTAATTTCATGGGTCCAGCTGTCCACCTAATTAACTTTCCCCCCTTTTATGGAGGATTTTCAAGGTCACCATAAACAGTCCCATCTCATTAAAGTTATATTAAAGCAAGTCTTTAAATATGCATATGTTATTGCCAAGCACTTTCTTAGCTCTACCATCAACTAATTTGTCCCTTCTCATCACTTTGTTAATGTTGATTAGAAGACTCACTACTTTTGAAGATTAATTGAAGCTTGGTCCATGAAAAAACACAAAAATGATTAACAAATTAAACATAGTACATGGCTTTGACCAACATGCATTCACATTTGTCTCAGGTGTGTTCCACGTTTCTTTATAAAGAGTTATTAAAGAAACTTGTAAGTCGTTGGTTGGTGACAAGAAGATATCGGCATAAAGAAATCCCACCACAATAATTTATATTAAAATAAGTCTTTAAAAAAGCATATCTCATTGCCATGCACTTTCATTGCACATATAGTTTTACCATCAACTTGTCCCACACTCTCAGCATCATCAGTTTGTTTGATTAGAAGCTTCACATATTCAGAAATCAGGTGAAACATGCTCCACATAAATGCGCCTTACAATAAACGTAGTACAGCTTGCACCACATCCATAATGCATTCACATTTGTGCTAGGAAGTCATAAGAACCATGAGTAGCTCAAGGAAAACTCCATGTTTCACTTAAATAATTGTGTGTTATTGTTCATCTTCCCCAAAGTTATGAAAATGCAGATGGGTTTCATATCTTTACTTGGTTTGGTTTCGATTTTGCTTATAAACATTGGTGTTACGAAGCATATGTATAACACAGGGAATTTCACAAGTAATAGCCTATGAGAGAACAGGAATCTGATTCTCTCATCTCTTGCTTCTAATGTCACTCTTCATGATGGTTTCTTTATACTTCAAGTATTGGCAGAGCCGGACAAAGTTTATGTCTCTGTGAATTGTAGAGGAGATTCTCTGCAGAACATGGTGCTAGTTGTGTAATTTCTGCCTGAAGAAGATATTGTGAGACATGTTTGAACCAGAAAAGCTGGCATGGGGAGGGAGTCCTCAATGCATTGTGCGCTATTCAACACGCTCTTTTTTTGGCAAAATGGCTCCGGATCCTATGGCTGCGGAAGCAGTGAGAATAATATGACGTGAACATGACACAGTTTATCAAGTTGGGAAATTTACGAACCGGTTGTTGAGAGAAGCTGCAGCTGGGCTAATATTCTACGTAAGTTTGCAATTGGGGAGAAAGTTTGACCTTTGTGAAGATTTATGCACTCATGCAGTTACTCCAATATTTCACAGAGTGATTGTGAGGATTGTCTTCGTCAATCTGTGGGTTTCTATGAGAGTCACTACCATGGGAAGTCTGGCTGCCTTATTATGAACCTAGTTGTATGTATATCTGGGAATTCGATCGTTTCTATAACGCCACTCTTGTTCCTACCCTTCTCAGCCGGCCCGTCGCTTCCTTCTCCGCGGCTAGTTATTCCAAAAGGATTTTCAAGATCCTTTCCTCATATGAACTTTACAAGCAACGTCTTCTTCTCTCTTCAGCAATTTCTAATCTTTAGCGAACTCTCAGAGGTCGAACTCAGATGAGTTCTCACCATCTGTCAGAGACAAAAAAAAGAATGGATCTTGTAGGATTCCAAGAATTAAATTCTTTAATTTTTCCGAAAGTAGATACTTTTTATATGTTTTCACATTTCCAATAGCCGGGACCAGATATCCATAAAGGCATTTGAGGGTTCGTCTAATTTATCTTTGTTTTGTTTTATCAAGATAGGAAGGACCCCGAATAATAAATCTTTCTTTTAGTTGTTTGAATCTTTTTTTGATTGATCAATAAGTGATATTAGGAATCCTTATTTTCTATTCACATGTGGTCAAGATTTTTTCCTTTTAACACACAATCCATTCTTATGTTCGCCAGGTAAAAGTCAGATATTTCACTATATATTTCACACTATTTTCTGATTTGTGGATGCGGCAAAGGAACATTATCTAGAACTGTTATAATCATTGTTTCTTCTGTAGTAGTTATCATTATAGCACTTGTTGCGTTCACTGTGGTCTTTGTTTACAAGAAAGACAAAGCAGGAGACCAGAAGTAAGCAGAGACAAGTATCTGCACTTCCTCTGCTAAGAACAATAAGTCCATTTTTTTTTTTTTTTTGTTGGAGTTCTAACTTGTTGCTGTTATTGTTAGATGTTGATGAATTGATAGTGGAATCCTTGCAATTCGACTTCATTACTATCAGAGCTGCAACAAATGACTTCTCAAATGATCACGCTGGGACAAGGGGGATTTGGTGTTGTTACAAGGTATGGTTCATTAACCAAAATGCATATCAATTGTCAGTCAAAATGGGTTAAATTGTAAGTTTTTATTCATTGAAGCTATACAATTTCAGGTAGGCTTCCTGATGGACAGGACATAGCTGTGAAGAGGCTGTCTAAAGAATCAGCAAGGAGAATTGAATTTAAAAATGAGGTCCTCTTAGTGGCCAAGCTTCAACATAGGAACTTGGTTAGACTTCTAGGTTTCTGTTTGGAAGGAAATGAAAGGCTTCTCATCTATGAGCTTGTGCCAATTCAAGTCTAGATAACTTTATATTTGGTATGGTTTCACTGCTCTTTGGCTTTGACTTCTGACATTCAGCTGTAGCTTTTTCAGGACTACAATATTTTACAATCTGTACATCATGTCTTTGTGGATTTGCAGATCCATAAAGCGTTTATATGGATTGGGAGACTCGCAAAATCATAGGGGGCATAGCCCGAGGACTTCTTTATCTTCATGAAGATTCCAGGTTTCGAGTCTTCATCGTGATCTAAAAGCTAGTAATTCTTCTAGATGTCGACAGTGTTTCGAAATTTCAGATTTTGGAATGGCGAAATTGTTTGAAATCGATCAAACCATGGCGATACAAGTAGAGTCGTGGGACCTTGTAAGTATATATATTTAGCATTACAAACTTAGACCTTAGTAATAAAATCTAACCCATTATGGGCGTTTTCATGGGATAGGCTCCAGAGTATGTAAAGCATGGACAATTCTCAGTCAAGTCCGTGTTTTTAGCTTTGGTGTGTTAGTCTGAATCATCTGTGGTACAAAAATGTTCTTTTCATATGGAGAACAAGTAGAAATCTATTAACCTTTGTAAGTAAATGAGTCTTATCAATATATAATATTTTTTTCATTCATTCTCTTCCTGGTTAAATTCAATATCAATAACCAGGGATCTGTGTTGAATTTTTGCAGGCATGGAGAAATTGGAATGAAGGGACGGCTTTGAATCTGATAGATCCTAATCTAAGGTTGGTTCTAGCAGTGATGATGAATGTATTCGCTTGGGTTGCTTTGTGTTCAAGAAAATGTAGCCAAGACCTACAATGGCTTAGTTGTTCTAATGCTCACCAGCTGCTCTCGTCTCTCCCAGTTCCCTCAAAACCTCATTTTTTATGCAATCTAACTCGAAGGAGGAGATTCGGAATCACCTATGTTGGATCATAATGGAATTATGTTCAACCTTCGTTGAATGAGGTTTCAATTACCGAGCTAGAAGGTCGTTAACATGTTTTCAACTCTCATGTCTTGATGAGTTGATAGTTCATGAGATTTTGTCCTTTAACGGTAGCGAGACGTAAAGTTCAGATTTGAAAAATCAGGATGTCTGCAGGAAAACAGATTGTTATATGTATAATGTCTTGAGAACAAACATTATTGAAATCAGATTGGTCTTCCTAAAACACACATAGTCCATATTTCTCACATCGAAGACAGCAGAATTTGTCCTTTTTAGTGTTACCCCACGGGTAACAAAAATTGGAATGAAGAAAGTTTGTTTTGCCCATCTGGAAAATTTTTATATGTGAATCAATGTTAAAAAGGAATAAGAATTTTGATTTTATGTAAATTGATGCTTTTTACCTTACACTATCCTTCCTCTGACGTTTCAATCACCATCTTGTTCACACAGCCCACTGGCTTTGATTTCAAAAGCTCCGTCTGTGAACATCCTTTGATTTCAAGCCATGGATTTCAAAGTCTGAGTCCGCCAGTCAATTTGACTAGTCCACTCTGCATTCTATCTCTTAGCTTGTTTTTTTTTTTTATTGTGAAGAGTGGTGTTCTCTTTCTTCATCTTCCCCAGCTCATGAAAGCATACCCTGCAAAGGGTTTTAAACGTGGATTTGTTTGGTTTCTTTTATGCTATTATAACATTGGTGTTACCAGAGCAACTATATGTTTCCGACTCGGGAATTTCCAAGTAATAGCACTTAGAGAGAACAGGAACCTGATTCTCTCATCTCTTGCTTCTAATGTCACTCTCCATGCGGGTTTTTTTATACTTCAAGTTTGGCCTGGAGCCTACAAGTTTTGCTCTGTGAATTGTAGAGGAGATTCTTTGCAGAACAGTGTGCTAGTTTGTGTAATTTCTGCAGCTAAAGATATGTGAACATGTTTGCACAAAGAAGCAGTGGCATGGGGAGGGTCCTCAATGCATTGTGCGCTATTCAAACGCTCTTTTTTGGGCAAAATGGATGCGGATCCTATGCTGGAGGCGAAATAAGAATAATGAACCGTAAACATGACACAGTTTGATCAGAGTTGGGAGAATTTGATGAACCGGTTGTTGAGAGAAGCTGCTGCTGGGGCATAATTCTCAAGCATTTTGCAATTGGGGAGGAAGTGTGACAAGCTTTGTGAGATTTTATGCACTCATGCAGTGTACTCCAGATATTTCACAGAGTGATTGTGAGGATTGTCTTGGTCATCATGGGTTTCATGAGAGCCACTACCATGGAACCTGCTGCAGTATTATGAGACCTAGTTGTTGTATGTATATCTGGGATTCGATCGTTCTATAACTCCACTCTTGTTCCAACATCTCAGCCGCCGTCGTCGCTTCTTTCTCCGCGGCTAGTTTTCCAAAAGGTATGTTTCAGATCCTTTCCTGATATAAACTTTGAAAAGCAACATCTTCTTCTTTCTTCAAACAATTCTAATCTTTAGCGAACCTCTCATTAGGACTCAAACTAAAATGAAGTTTTGAGCATCTGTCAGAGAAAAAGGAGGAATGGATCTTGTACGATTCTTAGAATTAAATTATTCTTTGATTTTTTTTCCGGAAGTAGATACTTATTCCATATTGTTTTTCACATCTGTGAATAGCTGGGACATTAAGCAATATCCATATAGGCATTTAAGGGAATTGGTCTGATTCTATCTTTGTTTGTTTTATTCAAAGATAGAAAGGATCCCGAATAATAAATTTTTTACGAGTCCTTATGCTCGCTTGGGTAAAAGGTCAGATCAGGAGATATCATTAAATATTGACCATATATGTACACATTTTTTTCTGTTTTGAGGATGCAGGCAAAGGAGGCATTACATCAAGAACTATTATAATCATTGTTTCTTCTGTAGTAGTTATCATTATAGCACTTGTTGCGTTCACTTGTGTCCTTGTTATACAAAGGAGAAAGGCAAAGCAGGAGACCAGAAGTAATAAGGAGATAGAAGGTATCTGCAATTTTCTCTGCTATAAGACCAGCAATAATTTTTTTTTTTTTTTTAAAGAGTTTCTAACTTCTTGCTGTTATTGTTTAGATGTTGATGAAATTGATAATATGGAATCCTTGCAATTCGACTTCAGTATTGTCAGAGCTGCAACAAATGACTTCTCAAATGCATATAAATTAGGCAATCTCGACACCAAATTTTTCTATGAAAAGGGGTTCAGTTTGGAAGATATCGGGACCATGGTGTCGAGTTTGCCTAATTTATATGCTCTCAGCTTGACAGAGAGCTTGATACCCAAACGGGAGTTCTTTTTGACCATGGGTATTCAAAACCTGAGCTGATTAAGTTTCCTCAGTATTTTAGTTACAGTTTGGAACAGAGAATCAGACCATGTTTTGCACTTGTCAAGGAGTTAGGAGTGAAAATCGGGTTGGACCGCATGCTAGTATGACCACACTGTGACTTTGAGAAAGTTTTGAAGATGAAGAGAAATAATATGTTTGCTGACGAGCTTTCAAGTCATACAGAGAGCAAGTAATATGATCATTGGTCAGGAAATGGATTGTATGGCTTCTCAGTGGAGTGCTCATTTAGATGGAGCAGCTCGGTGGTACAATTTTCAAGCTTGACTTTAACAAATTTGTTGGAGGTATCTTTGAGTGTTGTCCACAGTGTGGTCAGTCCTTTTCATCAATTGTTTCTCTATAATCCTTGTATTAACAGAAGTTTTCTCTTCTGCATTACTCTTTCTTACAAGTTAGTATTCCCAGGATGCATGGAAGTGAATTCAATCATTGTTGTTTGGATGAGACTCTCTTCCTTATCATGCAATTTTTTTTTTGGTTGCAAATTCTTTTTCTACTTCAATGTAAATCTTAGATGTAATGGCTCTAGTACTTGTTCTTTGTTTGAAGGTGAGGTTAATATTCTGAACATTTATTATTTCACAGAGTGATTGTGAGGATTGTCTTCGTCAATCTGTGGGTTTCTATGAGAGTCCATACCATGAAGTCTGGCTGCCTTATTATGAGACCTAGTTGTATGTATTCTGGGAATTCGTCGTTTCTATAACGCCACTCTTGTTCCTACATCTTCTCAGCCGGCGCCTTCGCTTCCTTCTCCGCGGCTAGTTATTCCAAAAGTAATTTCAAGATCTTTCCTCATATGAACTTTACAAAAGCAACGTCTTCTTCTCTCTTCAAGCAATTTCTAATCTTTAGCGAATCTCTCAAGATTCGAACCAGATGAAGTTCTCACCATCTGTCGAGAGACAAAAAAAAAAATGGATCTTGTAGGATTCCTAAGAATTAAATTCTTTAATTTTTCCGAAAGTAGATACTTATTTATATGTTTTCACATTTCCTGAATAGCCGGGACATTAAGAAATATCCATAAGGCATTTGAGGGAATTCCTAATTTTCTTTGTTTTGTTTTAATCAAGATAGGAAGGATCCCGAATAATAATCTTTTCTTTTAGTTTTTTTAATCTTTCTTTGATTGATCAATAAGTGATATTAGGATCCTTATTTTCTATCACATGTGGTCAAGATTTTTTCCTTTTAACGACAATCCAGTCCTTATGTTCGCTCAGGTAAAAGATCAGATATTTCACTATATATTTACACATATTTTCTGATTTGTGGATGCAGGCAAAGGAAGCATTCCATCTAGAACTGTTATAATCATTGTTTCTTCTGTAGTAGTTATCATTATAGCACTTGTTGCGTCACCTTGTGTCCTTGTTATACAAAGAAAAGACAAAGCAGAGACCAAAGTACAGGAGACAGAAGGTATCTGCACTTTCCTCTGCTATAACAATAAGTCCATTTTTTTTTTTTTTTTTTGGAGTTCTAACTTGTTGCTGTTATTGTTTAGATGTTGATGAAATTGATAATGTGGAATCCTTCAATTCGACTTCAGTACTATCAGAGCTGCAACAAATGACTTCTCAAATGATACAAGCTGGGACAAGGGATTTGTGTTTGTTTACAAGGTAGTGTTCATTAACCAAAATGCATATCAATTGTCAGTCAAATGGGTTAAATTGTAAGTTTTTAATTCATGAAGCTATACAATTTCAGGGTAGGCTTCCTGATGGACAGGACATAGCTGTAAGAGGCTGTCTAAAGAATCGGACAAGGAAATTAGAATTTAAAAATAGGTCCTCTTAGTGGCCAAGCTTCAACATAGGAACTTGGTTAGACTTCGAGTTTCTGTTTGGAAGGAAATGAAAGGCTTCCATCTTGAGCTTGTGCCCAATTCAAGTCTAGATAACTTTATATTTGGTATGGTTTCACTGCTCTTTTGCTTTGACTTCTGACATTCGCTTGTAGCTTTTCAGGACTACAATATTTACAATCTGTCTACAATCTATGTCTTTGTGGATTTGCAGATCCATAAAGCGTTTATTTTGGTTGGGAGACTCGATACAAAATCATAGGGGGCATGCCCGAGGACTTCTTTATCTTCATGAAGATTCCAGGTCGAGTCATTCATCTGATCTAAAAGCTATTAATTCTTCTAGATGTCGACATGGTTTCGAAAATTTCAGATTTTGGATGGCGAAATTGTTTGAAATCGATCAAACTCATGGCGATACAAGTAGAGTCGTTGGGACCTTGTAAGTATATATATTATAAAGCATTACAACTTAGACCTTAGTAAAATAAATCTAACCCATTAATGGCGTTTTCAGTGGTATATGGCTCCAGAGTATGTAAAGCAGGACAATTCTCACAAGTCCGATGTTTTTAGCTTTGGTGTGTTAGTCCTGGAAATCATCGTGGTCAAAAAATAGTTCTTTCATAATGGAGAACAAGTAGAAGATCTATTAACCTTTGTAAGTAAATACGAGTCATTATCAATATAATATATATATTTTTTCATTTCTTCTTCCTGGTTAAATTCAATATCAATAACCATGGAATCTGTGTTGAATTTTTGCAGGCATGGGAAATTGGAATGAAGGGACGGCTTTGAATCTGATAGATCCTAACTAAGAGTTGGTTCTAGCAGTGAATGATGAGATGTTCGCATTGGGTTGCTTTGGTTCAAGAAAATGTAGCCAATAGACCTACAATGGCTTCAGTTGTTCTAATTGCTCACCAGCTGCTCTCTGTCTCTCCCAGTTCCCTCAAAACCTGCATTTTTTATGCATCTAACTCGAAGGAAGATGATTCGGAATCACCTATGTTGGATCTAATGGGAATTTGTTCACCTTCGTTGAATGGGTTTCAATTACCGAGCTAGAAGGTCGTTAACTGTTTTCAACTCTCATGTCTTGTGCAAGTTGATAGTTCATGGATTTGTCCTTAACGGTAGCGAGACGTAAAGTTCAGATTTGAAAATCAGGATGTCTGCAGAAAAACGATTGTATATGTATACAATGTCTTGAGAACAAACATTATTGAAATCAGAGTGCTCTCCTAAACACACAATAGTCCACTATTTTCTCACATCGAGACAGCAAGATTTTGTCCTTTTTAGTGTTAACCCACACGGGTACACAAATTGGAATGAAGAAAGTTTTGTTTATTGACCATCTGGAAAATTTTTATATGTGAATCAATGTTAAAAAGGAAAAGAAAATTTGATTTTATGTATAAATTGATGCTTTTTACCTTACACTATCCTTCCTCTGACGTTTCAATCACTCATCTTGTTCACACGCCCCCTGGCTTATTTTCAAAAGCTCCGTCTGTAACATCCTTTGATTTCAAGCCATGGATTTCAAAGTTGAGTCCGCCAGTCAATTTGACTAGTCCACTCTGCATTCTATCTCTTAGCTTGTTTTTTTTTTTATTGTGAAAGAGTGGTGTTCTCTTTCTTCATCTTCCCCCAGCTCATGAGAATGCATACCCTGCAAAGGTTTTAAAACGTTGGATTTGTTTGGTTTCTTTTATGCTTATATAACATTGGTGTTACCAGAGCAACATATGTTCCGACTCGGGAATTTCGCAAGTAATAGCACTATGAGAAGAACAGGAACCTATTCTCTCATCTCTTGCTTCTAATGTCACTCTCCATGCGGGGTTTTTTTTATACTTCAAGTATTGGCCTGGAGCCTAACAAAGTTATGCTCTTGTGAATTGTAGAGGAGATTCTTCTGCAGAACAGTGTGCTAGTTGTGAAGTTCTGCAGCTAAAGATATTGTGAAGACATTTGTGAACCAGAAAAGCAGTGGCATGGGGAGGGAGTCCTCAATGCATTGTGCGCTATTCAAACCGCTCTTTTTTGGGCAAAATGGATGCGGATCCTATGGCTGGAGCGAAAATAAGAATAAGTAACCGTAACATGACACAGTTTGATCAGAGTTGGGAGAATTTGATGAACCGTTTGTTGAGAGAAGCTCTGCTGGGCTATAATTCTCAAGCAAGTTTGCAATTGGGGAGAAGTGTGACAAGCTTTGTGAGATTTATGCACTCATGCAGTGTACTCCAGATATTTCACAGAGTGATTGTGAGGATTGTCTTGGTCAATCAGTGGGTTTCTATGAGAGCACTACCATGGAAGCCTGGTGCAGTATTATGAGCCTAGTTGTTGTTTATATCTGGGAATTTCGTCGTTTATAACTCCACTCTTGTTCCTACATCTCAGCCGCCGTCGTCGCTCTTCCCTCCGCGGCTAGTTATTCCAAAAGGTATGTTTCAAGATCCTTTCCTGATATAAACTTGAAAAAGCAACATCTTCTTCTTCTCTTCAAACATTTCTAATCTTTAGCGAACCTCTCAGTAGGACTCAACTAAATAGTTTTGAGCATCTGTCAAGAAAAAGAAGATGATCTTGTACGATCTTAAGATTAAATTATTCTTTATTTTTTTTCCGGAAGTAGATACTTATCATATTGTTTCATGCATGAAATCTTTTCATATAAATCATCTAAGAATGAAAAGTCAGAGAAATGTTATAATTTCATCTAATAAGAACAATTACATCATTTTTTTTATGACCGGGCATATGTGGTGTTTCTTGGCGCTAACCCAATCAGCTGGTCCTCTAAAAAGCAACGAACAATAGCACAATCCTCAACCGAGGCTGAGTATAGAGCTGTGGCATCCACTGTTGTTGAAGTGCTTTGGGTCTCTAACTTACTTCATGAACTTCATGTTTCACACTCCCAGCCACCAACCATTTATTGTGACAATGTTGGAGCAACTTATCTTTGTGTCAATCACGTGTTTCATTCCCGAATGAAACACATTGCCATTGACTTTCATTTTGTGCGCGACCATGTGAACAAGAATTTGCTTCGTGTTCAACATGTTCATTCGGCTAATCAACTAGCTAACTCACTCACTAAACCCCTCTCCCGCCAGCAGCTTCAACGACATTGTCACAAGCTAGGTGTTCTTGATGGAACGCCTATCTTGCGGGGGCATAATAGACAACTTAAATGACCAATTACATTGATTGGGTCAACTCCATAAATTGTGCCTTCTATTTATCAAGACCACATGTTTTGCCTGTAATTATGAGCTTACATTTCTCCTTGTATTATGTAACTACTGGTGTATATATATCCATGTAATTCATGAATGAAAAGTGTGAGAGTTTTATCATATAACTGTTGTCATTATACGGGGGTGTCCGGGCTAACTTACCTGTATCTCAACTAATCATTAGGACCTTGGAACTACCGATAGCTGGGTAAAAGCTTTAGTGGTTACTCCTATTAATAACCGAAGAGGGACTCAAACTCATGACCTCTTAAGTAATACACACAAGAGTCTCTATCAAACCACTCAACTACACAGAGGTAGTTAACAATTACATCATTTCTAAAGCCTAAAACATGTCTTAGCTTTAACATGCTAATTTAGTAATATAATAATTTTTTAATTCATTTATTTTGTTCTTTTAGTTTATTTCATTTAAGACAATTTAGTAATATATATTTTCATAAAAAAATGGGCTGTGAAAATTAATTTT